GTCCGCTACCTTGTCGTGGTGGGGGGGCTTCGTGCCCTAATGATCCTCAAGGCTGTGCCGGTGGGGAATTTATTCCCTGGCAGGTTCTACCATGCCGGAGTGGTTTGAGGTGAGGAGCCAACTAAAGTCGGACATATACCGTAAACCTGTGGTCATGTTTTACAGGAACAGGGGTCTTGCTTTAACCGGCCGGGCCGCGAGGATGACAACCTCTATAAAAAATCGCTAGCCCCAAGCAGCGTTGCGCGGTGNCTACCTTGTCGTGGTGGGGGGGCTTCGTGCCCTAATGATCCTCAAGGCTGTGCCGGCGGGGAATTTATTCCCTGGCAGGTTCTACCATGCCGGAGTGGTTTGAGGTGAGGAGCCAACTAAAGTCGGACATATACCGTAAACCTGTGGTCATGTTTTACAGGAACAGGGGTCTTGCTTTAACCGGCCGGGCCGCGAGGATGACAACCTCTATAAAAAATCGCTAGCCCCAAGCAGCGTTGCGCGGTGATGAGGGCGTAGCTGGAGTAAGCGCCAGCTATGGTTGGTGGGTGCACCAATCTTTAGCGGACAACCCCGGGGTACCTGGCGACCCCCCGGGTGTATTAGCCTTCCCCGGGTACCGTGGCTCTGCCCGGGGTGACCTTCTTTTCCGACCTTACTCGTGGGACTACTATGGATATGTCACAAATAAAACAAACCGGAGAGGGGGGTAACGAGGTGAGGGAGGAGGTGCACGTACTAACCGTGCGCCTCGAAAAGTGCATAGCGCCGGTGTTGCGGAGTGTATCCGCAACACGCGGTCTAAAAAGGTCTGCAGCGGGTCTGGGCGACTGTGACGAAGGGGAGGAATCCGATTACTCGGTTTCCTCAAACCACTCGTCGCAGAGCGTGCCGGGCACCAGCTGTGGCAGAAAGAGGGGCCGACCGCCAACAACTGGCAAGTACGTTGGCCTCCCTGAGGCCAAGTGGAAGTTAACAGAGGCCAAAAACAAACTGGCCAAGATCTCCCGGCCGGAGGACGACGAGGAGGAGGAACTGGCGGCCGTGTTTGATTCGGCGGCCACGAAGCCGAGAACATATAAGTCGAGTGTCCCGCTCCCCGACGAGGCCCAGGTAGCGGAGACATTCCGTAACCGCCCGACGCGGGACGTGGAGGCCACGGTACTGAAGAGTCTGGCCGAGGTGGCCAGAATCTCAGAGGTTTCAAAGGGGTTAAGGGGCAGTCTGGCCCGCGCCCTGAGGGAGGCAACAATCAACAGCAGGCTGGGGGTCTCGGAGTTGGCCGTTAGGTCATCCAAGTAGCCCGGCTACGTCAGGCGGTGGAGGGGAGGCCGGCTACTGTCGCGTTGCCTCCGCCGCTGGTCCTCAGGGAGGATGTGGTGCCGCCATCGGTCGCCGGTAACCAAGCGCCTCAATGCTCGAGACGAGGAAAATCCTCGCCCCCACCTGCGGCGGTGCCAGCGGATCTGCTGACACAGTTTGGGGCTCTAATTGATGCCAAATTGGCATCGTTTAGGAAAGAGATCACGCCGTGGGTGCAGGGCCCGCGACCGGCATACCATCAGTCCCCCCTCCGTCTACGGACGGGGAGGGGCGGAAGAAAAAGAAAAAAAGAAGGGGAAAGCTGGGGTCGCTGAGGCAGCCCAGCCGGTGCCCGCTACCCGGGCCATCCCCAGCGCTTTGCCGCCTTCGGCCACGCCTACAAACCAGGGGGCGTGGTCGAGGATAGTTGGCCGAAAGGCCAAAAAGGTGGCTGCCGCGGTTAAAACTGTGGCGGCCGTCAAGGCCTCACTGGCCGGGAAGAGGGCGGGGCGGGTGGCCCCAGCGCCCCCGAAAAAGGCTCTCCTGCCTCCGCGTACGCCTCGTACAGCCGCGGTGACCATCACGGTCCCGGCTGGCGGGGCTATGACGTATGCGCAGGCGATGGCCACCGCGAGGTCGAAGATCGACCTCGCGGAGATTGGCATCGCCTCGCTAAGGCTGCGAAGGGCGGTGACCCGGGCAATCATCCTGGAGGTTCCAGGCGCTGATGGTGTTGCCAAGGCCACCGCCCTCGCCACGAAAGTGGCCGACGCACTAGCGGGAACCGGCGTGAAAGTCGCGCGCCCAGCCAAAAGACCGATTTGAGGGTGCGCGGCCTGGTCGATTCGACCACGCCGGCGGAGGTTGCCGCGGCCGTCGCCCGTGTTGGAGGGTGCTCTGAGGGGGATGTTAGGACCGGCGAAATCTGGTCTTCCCCCTCAGGACTGGGCACCATCTGGGTCCAGTGCACTGCTGCGGCCGCTCGTAAAGTTGCGGTCGCAGGGAAGTTGACTGTGGGCTGGACCCTGGCGACGGTCGAGGCCCTCAGCGCCCGGCCCCTGCAGTGCTACCGCTGCCTCGGTGTTGGTCACACCAGGGAGCGGTTCACTGCCGCCGAGGACAGGACCGGCTGCTGCTATGGATGCGGCAGCCGGGACAATAAGGTGGCTAGCTGTTCAGCCGCGCCCAATTGCACGCTTTATGCGGACGTGGGCAGGCCGGCTGGCCACTGCCTCGGCAGCCGGGCGTGTCCCGTCGGTGCGAAGAGAGGCAGGGGAGGCGGCAAAAAGCCGCATAAAAAATATAATAATAACAAGGAGAAGAAATCCACGGTGGCCAAGGCGGCGGCCACCGTGGCTAACAAAGAGAATATGGCATCACTTGATGCCACCGTCGCGCCCTCGGGGGCGGATGGAGCAAATACAGCTCCAGACGCCACCGCTCCCGCGGCCGCGATGGACATCGAAGTGGGCGTATAATGGGGCCTAGTGGCAACCTGAACCGCTCGGCCAGGGCACAGGACCTACTTGTGCAATTCCTGGCCGAGCGGGGTGCCGGGTTGGCCGTGGTGGCGGAGCCATATAGGGTCCCCGACCATCCTCTTTGGATGGGGGATTCAAGCGGCTCCGCCGCCATATACTGGGTAGGTAGGCCGGGATCCCCGGCGTGCTCGGTCATCGAACGCGACTGGGGATTCCTGGCTGTTGATTGGGGCGGCACCGCGGTTGTGGCGATCTACGCACCTCCTAGACGGTCCCTTGAAAAGTTCGAACAGTGCCTGGACGGGGTAGGGAGATGCGTCTCCCGCTGCCTGCCCCGTCCGGTGCTGATCCTGGGGGACTTCAATGCCAAGGCTACGGCCTGGGGGTCCCTCAGGGCGGAGGCGAGGGGCCGGGAGGTGCTAGAGTGGGCAGCGGGACTCGAGTTTCGTCTCCTAAACACGGGCTCGGTCCATACGTGCGTGCGGCATAACGGGGGCTCTATTGTTGACCTCTCGTGGGCAATAGCCCCGGCCGCGCGCCGTATTACGGGATGTTTTACACAAATCTAACATAAACGGACACATGCTATTTAAATGTGTTTTCTAAAACGGTTATTAAACCTTTTCATGCATTTAACGAATTATTATTTAACAAGTTCGCTGCGTCATCAACATTTTTTCTTGCCTCTGTTATTTATATTATGTGACCTTTTTGGGAGACTTGCTGTCTTCTTTTACCCCCGTTCAGTTTGACGGGGGAGACAGCCATCGTCGAACCCTCGCTGTGGGGGCGCGCTGACCGTTCGGCCGGGTAGCGGTACGCAGTACATGTGGCAGTGATAAAAAATAAAGAGACAAACGAATTTCCGGTTCTTGCAAACGTCAAGGACGTTTTCTCTCTGCCAAACCCTTGACATCTGCAAGTGGACAGTTTTATGGTTATTACGGTCGCCGGCCGTGTGCCGCTACAAAATGTTGGAAGAAGACGAAAAAAATTATCACTGCAGGATGAACGAAAAATTATACGGTTTGTCACATATGGTGAAGCTTCAAGTGTCACTATGGCTGCAAAATTATTAAAAAAAACACGAATATACAAATAAGCAAGTGGATAGTACGAAGAAGCCTCAATGTACCTGAGTTTGGAACCCTTAAAAAAAGGAGAAGCCAATCTTATCGAAGAAGAATATTAAGCTCTGTTTGGAATTTGCCAAAAAATACCAAAACAGGACAACTATTGAATGAGAACGGGTTATTTGGTCATATGAGACCAAAATTAACAGAATTTGTTCAGATGGCATGCTTGGTGCTGGATTCATAAAAATGAAAGGCTCAAACCACGACATGTAAAGTAAACGGAGGCGGATCTCTAATGTCTTGGATGTGCCTAACAGCATTTGGTGTTGAATCACTGCACCGAATTAATGGCATCATGGATCAGTACATATACAAGGACATTTTACAAGATTATCTCATAGAGGTTGTTGAAAATATGCCTTTTGAAGAAGAAAATGTAATTTTCATGCATGACCGAGATCCTAAGTACACTACTAAAAGTGTAAAAAATTAGCTCAGTACTAAAAAATGTTATGTAAACATAGGTCATATAGAGCTTTATTAAGAAGTTATAACAAAAATTCAGAATAGGAATAGTAATCAACTTGCTGTTACTGCGAGCATTGGTTTGAATAGATTAGCACATGCTGTGTGTTTATGTAAGTTGTGTTTATTAATACATTTCGAAATGCCTACCGTTGTTGACAATACATGATTGACATCGATCGAAGATCGAATTTATGACCGTGCGAATTTCGTTTCTATTCTCTTTCATTTCATTGAACGCATTATTAATCTTTTGAATCAATTTTTGTTATAACTTCTTAATAAAGCTCTATATG